TTAATACTAGTATTAAAAATTGCACTACTAATTCGAATAGTAGTGCTGATGGGAATATTAACACTCCTGGGGATACTAATACGCATATTCTTATTAACTGTTCTCAATATGAATACTAATAGTACTAGTTGTTTGGAATACTAATACTTGTCCGAATATTCATACCAATACTCAGGCTACTGCGATTATACATAATAGGACATTAATATGGGTATTCGTATTAAGGTCAGCATTTCCTTCGAAAGTATTCATATGCGCATCATAATTCATCTTAATACTCGTACTGATATGAATTAGTATGATTACAAATACTTTTACGAAGACGGGTACTTTCAGTAATACCGATACTAATATGAATACTAGTGTTCCTACGAATATTAAAAAACATACCCATATTGATAGTAATTTTATTTTTTATTTTTTACCAATATACACGCAAATGCTAACATTAATACTAATATGCACATAAGTGATACAGTTCCTCCGCAGATTAATGCGCATAGTCTTATTAATTATTCTCAGTATTTATATTCACATTAAAAAACCTACACTAACATGAATAGCAGTATTACCACTTGATACTCCAGATAATACGATTATGCATAGTATGAACAGCGATACTGCTATTGATACCAATATTAATGCTCCTACGAATACTAATAATCACGTTCAAACCAAATACAAAAAACAGACACATCAATGTACCAAAGAATCTGTATTTTCACATACCAATAAATAATATACTCGTATACTACTATTCCAATGTTACCATAGACTATGAGACTATACACTGGTTAATATTAACACTAAGAATAAGGCAGAGACTAAGACCAAGACTAATACGAATACTAAAACTCACACTAGACATTAACACTACCATTAGTACACCTATTGTATAGACTTATATTCAGACTAATACTAACGCTGACATTGGAATTGACATTGACACTGACACCAACACTAACAGTAACACGAATCAACACGCTAGAACGCAGATACTAATACTAACACTAATGCCTAATGCACATCTGAAGACTACTGCGCGTAAACAACGAAACCATTTCCGATCAAGCATGCTGCGCGCTGTATTGGCTCTAAGGCTCCGAGAACCAAAAATCCAAAAAACCAAAAAACCAAAAATCCAAAACCTTTGTCAGGGGGGTCGAAACTTTTGGATTTTTTGGTTTTCCTAGGGTTTTTTTGGTTTTCCAACAGAAAACCAAAAAAATCCAAGGTTTTTTTGGTTTTCCAGCAGAAATCCAAAAAAATCCAAGGTTTTTTTTGGTTTTCCAGCAGAAATCCAAAAAAACACAGGTGTTTTTTGGTTTTTCACGAGAGACACAGCAGAAAAACCAAAAAAACCTTGTGTTTTTTTGGTTTTCCACCGAAAATCCAAAAAAAGCCATGGTTTCGCCAAGGCAAAGCCCAAAAAACCAAAAAAGACCTAGGAAAACCAAAAAATCCAAAAGTTTCGGGCCCCTCAGAAAGGCTTTGGATTTTTGGATTTTTGGTTTTTTGGTTTCCGCCGTCGTATCGTATGGTTTCTTTTAATGTTTCTTGCTTATGAATACAGGCATATGAATTTGAAAGCGGACATGAGTAGGCACGACGTTGTAAAGAGACATGACTTCACATCAGCCATGATAGAGAAGGTATCATCCCCGAAAATTACGCAAAACACGAATCGTATGCCAAACGCGAATCCCTGCCAAGAGAAGGTTTTGACGGTATTTACAATGGAAAAGAGGCCGAGGTAGGTCATGGGGGGGGTGTGTCCATATATATATATATATATATATATATATATATACACACGTGTATGTGCGCGCATGTATACACACACACACACAAACTCTCTCCTCTCTCTCTCTCTCTGTCTCTCTATCTCTCGCCCTCCCTCGCTCCCTCCCTCGCGCCCTCCCTTCCTTCCCAGCGCACTCTCACTCTCACTCTCACTCTCTCTCTCTCTCTCTCTCTCTCTCTCTCTCTTGCTCTCTCGCTCTCTCGCTCTCAGTGTATATACAGTATACACACATTACTGGAGAATGTAGGTTCATGGGTAGTGGGCCCTTGCTCTCAAGGGATACAAAATCCTTGATTGCCGAGCAGCATCCGAGTGCTCCGCTGCATTGTTGGAGCAACATACCTGGCTTTTGTGGGGAGGTGACGGCGACCTATTTTGGGCCGAATCGCGTGGTAGGGTTGTGGATAAGGGTGCTGGGATCTGGCTTCTGACTGCAGCGTGGAGCGAGATATTTCATGCGGATTTCTATCAAGGTTGCCGCCGTCTTGACATTATCCTCAATCCTGCGGCCTGAACCCCAAACCCTGGGTTCAAACCTTGAAACCATCAAACACGTCCCAGAAAGAGAGTGGCAACTGTTGTCCCAGCCAGGTCTAATAATCGCCGCATAATGGGACAGTACTTGGAGGATCATGGGACTTAGTAAGTATAGTTATAAGTACCTTAATTGGGGTTGTAAGTATAGTTACCTTAATAATAACCGTAATTACTAAGCCCCATGATCCTTTAAGTAGGTATAGAACCGGGGTTTAAGGGTTTTAACATAGGGATTGTGCTCACGGACTATGGGTTTTAGGGATTGGGGATTCTTGGGATTGGGGATTGGGGGATGTTAGTTTAGAACAGAAGCTAGAAAGTTGGAGCGTCATTAGCCTCATGCCATTAAAGTAAAGTGTAGGGAATCCCAGCATAAATCATCCTAAATCTATGTTCCAACTTTCTGGTGTTCACTGTAAGGGGTTGGAGTTTAGGAAGTTCGGCCTCTCGGAAAGGGTTGCACGCCAGAAGGCCTTTGCTGGCCATCAGCTGCCCTGGCATCGAAGAACAAAAAGCCAAAGGGTCCTAGGTACTGTTGTGGGGGATACTTCTCGAAATTAACATATGTAGTAATTCTTAATATAGGAACCCTACATTCTATGATATGGGTGCTTTGGGCCCTTTGGAAAAGGCCTTACTAAACCTGACACCACCTATAGAGCCCCAAGGCCCTAGACCGTAGATCTCATCAACTACGCCTTGTTTCGTTCAGGTTTAGTAGGCATGAAGTAGGCCGCGATATCGATAGAAGCGGAACTGACTCAACATACATTTCGAGCTTGGGGTTTGGGCTTCCTCCAGGTTCCTCGTTCTCCTTGGAAACCAATGGTGCCCTTTGTACCTGGGGATGAAGACGGCGTGTCACAGGGTTTCGTATGGCTTCAGAATGAGCTTCCCCAGTATCCCTCTTTGGATACCCACCCACCATCTCCACCACCGCTCACATAAGAAGTAACAAAGTTCGACTACAGACCTAGATAGTTCCAAATTTAACCTACCTGGACCCCAAAAGTATCTAAAACATAGCCCTTTACAGGTTTTGGGCATTTTTGGGCCATTGTTCTACATACTTCTGCGTTTGTCTGTTTAGGGCGTTTAATGCTTCGGGTATAGGGCGTTTAGGGTTTGGGGGTGGGGGGGGGTTAGGGCATAAGGTTTGGGTTGAGAGGCTTATAGTTTAGGGGCTTGGGGTTTTAGAAACTCTGCAACTTATCAGCTCGAAGTGAGGGTCGCCCCTACTTTCAAAAATGACACAGGCTGCGCTTTTGCATGCTGTCGACTGCAATACCATCGATTTCAGGGCCCTTGCTTACGCCTCCATACTAACATGCTGGGACTGTTCCACCACTTCAGTATGTTGGAGTCTTTGTGTCTTGCTGCTGAGTACTGCCATCTGGGGTGTCTCAGAGATCCAAAACCCCTCCAACCCAACCATGGAGGTCAACTTACTTGCAGAACTGGTTACCGGGGTGTAGAGTACAAATATTTTGTTGGGTCTATACAGGGCTTCCCAGGAAGTCGCGAAATACATTACCTAATAGGATCCTAAATAAAGGTGAACCCTAAAGCTTTAGGAAATCCCGAAAGGTAGCCCCAAACCCTAAAACCCGAAACCCTAGGGCCTAAATCCTAACCCCTAAACCCCTAAACCCCTAAAACCCGAAAACCTTACAGCCCTGAACCCTAAACCCCAAAAGCCATAAAGCCCTAAAACCCTACACCCTTTATGGAACCCTTATGGATCCCTTTAAAGGAACCCTTATAGATCCCTTTAAAAGAACCCTTATAGAACCCTCATAGATCCCGTAAAAGCCACCCCTGGGCCTTCGCGGGCCCAAGGCCTCTTCCGGCGAACTGCTATGCTTTGAGCAAAAAGTTCTGGGCGCGCGGAGATCGCAGTGGGGGTAGGGGTTTTAGGGTTTAGGGTTTAGGGTTTAGGGTTTTGGGTTTAGGGTTTTGGGTTTAGGGTTTAGGGTTTTGGGTTTAGGGTTTTGGGTTTTGGGTATAGGGGTGGGGTGGGGGGGGGTCGGAGGGGGTAGGTAGGGGGGAGGGGAGGTGGGTATCGCAAGTGGGAGGGGAAGACATTTGGGAGTTTCCGAACATTGGGGGTACCTTATTTTGGGGTCCTGACAATAAGGATCCTATTGTTTAGGGAACTATATTAGGGTCCCCTATTTTCGGAAACTCCCATTTAGGGCCAAGGGTCTTAGGGCTTATAGGGCTTAGGGCTTCGGGCTTAGGGTAAGGGTTTAGGGTTTAGTTAGGGTGTAGGGCCAGGGGTCTTAGGGCTTAGGGTTCATGAAGGGTTTAGGCTTCAATGAGGGTTTGGTGTCAGGCGTCAGGGTTTATATAGATTTGTTGGATTTGCCCTTTCATGGCTTTATGCAGGTGGACGTCGGTTGCATCGTAAACAGAAGTGCAGTTGCAAATGCTCGGAGTGTGCGCCCGTTTAGCCCTAACCGCCTAACCCAACACCCTGCAAGGAACCCCCAAATACCGGGGTACAGAAGGAAGAGTCCCGGTAATATAGGGGCCTGAATGATATCAGCCTAGGGTTTTGTGATATATTACATTACAAGTATAATAACAAGGAACACCACCCCCCCCTCCAAATAAAAAAAAGGTTCCTACATTAAGCCCTTTACCTAGCTGCCGCAGCCTGCTTGCTCCGCAGATAGGCCAAGTGCAGTGCACACACGAACTCACCACGAGTGAATCGCCCGTCCTGGCCATGAAGATTCTTTGACATCCAGTGACTGAGGGTTTGGGGGTTTAGGGTTTAGGGTTTAGATTTAGAGCTTAGGTAAGCGCTCAGTGTTTTCAGGTTTAGGGTTTTGCAAGCTTCCCGTCCATTCATGACACCCTTCAGTGCAGGCATCGGGTTTCATACCTTAAAGTGTACAGCGCACGGTGCTGGGGGTGCTCGGGCCAAAAGATGGGACAACAAAGTCTATACGGCCTGAGCCGGCTTCAGGGTGTTTTTGGGGCCTCTGCGTTTTGCGCTGCTTGGCCTTACAAGGGCTCATAGTTGTATGGGCCCTGCAAGAATCAGAAATAGAACATGGCTTTGGGGTATACTATAATTACGACAAAGATCAGGATTGATTTTAATTCCTGTTTAGTGAGGGCTCCTCTGCTTGCAGGGGGACCTGAATCATTAGCATAGGGTCTTGGGGTATGTTATGCCTTTTATAACAAGCATCGCCAAAATCGGGTTGATAAAAATCAAGCCCCTACTTGGAGGTTCGTGGGTGGTTACAAGTGGGGTTATAAGTCCCCGAAGATGGGTTATAAGTATATTTACCCTACTTATAATCCCAGTTATAACTACCCATGAACCTCCAAGTAGGCCCTAAACTCTGTACCCCTATAGAATCCCTATAGTACCTTAAAGGAACCCGTATTTCAGACCCTGGCTGCCAAGGGACTAACAGGTTGAGTTGAGGCTTTGCCGCGGGTTGGCTGCTGTAGGGCTGTGGGGTTTAGAGTTCGCGGTTTAGGGGTTTAGGGTTCGGGGTTTAGGGGTTTAGGGGTTTAGGATGTCGGGGTTCATGGGGTTCATTGTTTGTGCGTTTGCAGGCCTTGGCGGAGAAGAAGAAACTTCAATTCGTCTTGCTTCTCAGCTACTAAACCTGGTAACCTCAAACCCTAAATCATCACACACCCCTAAGAAAACACGGAACTCCGACATCGGGTGCTGCCCCACGTCCTTGTCCGTGTCGGCCAGGGTCAGTATCTTGCCCATGTCATCCTACGCTTTGTCGGGTTAGGATTTTAAGGTAACGAGTAACGGGATCAGAGCTACAAGTCCTGAGCCGACCTTTAGGGCCGTGGTGTGGTCTCAGACTCTCAGGGAAGTGCCGTAAGGGTCCATATACATCTGGCATTTACTTGGACCCTCTCATATTGAATTATTGAATCAGTGACTCCACGAAGGTCAACTGTCAGAAGCTCAACGTGAAGAAAGGGAGAGGAACGTCAGAGAAATCATGTAGTGAATAGGATGCAAGAAGTACAGCTACATATCAAGGGAGAAAGTAATGTGTTGGCAAAGTAAAATAGACGAGTAATGAACGATTTACCGAGCGATAGCATGCTTTCACTTCGTTTCCTTGCATCAATTCATTACTCCTTCACGGGTTTAGGGTTTAGGGTTTAGGGTTTAGGGGAGTACAACAACCCCTGTAAGGCCCAATCAGGAACTGCAAGTACATTGCTGCATGGACCCTTGCAGCTAGGATTAAGAACAGCCGTGGGATGCCTTGGTCAAAGGCGGTTATAAACCCTCAAACATAGGGCTTAGGCTAAAAAAGGGGGCTAAACGCACACCCTTAACTCGGACTCCCAAACCCCAACAAGCAACTTCTCAAATGCCCCTGGCAACCCTACAATCCCTAGATCCTACCTTCGGCGGCCTGGCCTATGCCTAACTTAATATAGTGGCCTCAATGACTACCATAGGACAGGGTGTTGGGGTATATTATACTGGAACAATGAGACGGACCCCCAAATCAGTGTTGGTAGTTATTTAGGCCCCGTTGCTAAAGCCTTATACTAGCCCTCATAGTAACCCCTTTTAAAGGAACCTATGCAACCCTAGGGCAAGCCCCCTATAGTACACGGTCCTCTGACAGGCTCGCTTTCTGCAGCGCTTGCCGGGCCTATCAGGAAAGATGCTTGTCTCGTAGGCATTATATAGTGCCCACAAAAACCAAAATAGCAGCGAAAACTTGCTTGCATACATTTATGTATAAGTGTTGTGTATAATAGACATAATGTGCATATATATAGGTATGTATAGACATGTGCAGCTGTGTAGATAGATAGATAGCCGTATAGACAGATAGATAGACACATTGATAGGTAGATAGGTAGGTAGGTAGGTGCATAAACAGGGGGACAGGTAGATAGACGGATAGATGTGTATATACAAACTCATATATATATATATATATATATGCATGTATATATATATATATATATATATATGTATGTATATACTACACATATTAATAAATAAATGAATATATATATATATATGAATGATATAGAATACGAAGAACAGATAATAAATACACTATATATATATACATATATATGTAATGTGTATACACAGACACACGTACTTGTTTATCTGTATACATACGGTCTTGGGGCCCAAGCAGCCTGGCTACTTCTCAGAAATCAATGTCGGTGGGCCGTTCGGGAGATGTATATTCCAACGATCCCGTCGCCAACTCGTAAAACCTAGTCGCCTTGCCCCACTGGGGCAATTGAGCTCGAGAAACCACGCACTGCAGGAAGTAGCGGGATAACCAGAACCGGCTTATACCAGCTGGATACTGTTACGAGTACGTTACTTCAAGCCGAGCTTCGCAACCTCCCCTTTAGATGCAATCACCTCCTGCTTTAGGAATTTATACTCCCCAAAATTCTGGGGTCATACTGCACTGGTCGTCAGGCTTGGGGCCACACGTTGAAACTCGAAACCGTAAAGCTTCAACCCTAGTACTCATCACACCAGGCTTGAAGGAAGACCCTAAACCCTAAAAGCACCAACACCCGACAGCCTGCGCCATTTCGACGAAGCCATCGGCATCGAGGTCGGCCCGCACGAACACGGTTTTGTACCTGACATGGAACTGCAATCGAAAGATCAAGGGTGTAAAGGTGGTACTGTTGATGATATAATTCCTGCATTACCTTAAGGACCCTAAACCATGGGGATTATGGTATATTCCTTGTTTTGGGTCATGCAGGATTTATATCATCAACCGTATGAGTGCTTTGTGAGCCCGACACAAAACCATCGGTGCCCCTTCCCGTAGCCCAAAGAGGCCTCTCCATGCGTTCCTCGTCGATGTGCCAATCCTCCCGTTTGGGGTTAAGCAAAAAGTACATTCGAAGAATCATCATGAAGAAATGCAGTAATTAATCATAGCAACAGGCAGTGATAGTAGTGGTGCTATGAGTAGCAACATCCATGTTGAATAATTGCTCCTTACTCGATAGCAGACTCTCTGGGCAAGAGTTCTGACTTTGGATGTCACTCGTGTCAGTACGATGTTAAGGCTGCTAAGGAGTCTGTGCGAGCATGCATTAATGCCGGAGGTAATTATCTAGTTGGGGGGGGGGGGGGGGGACTGAAAATTAATTAAGGATGCAACTACAGCACATAGGGTCTCTAGGAAGCTGCCAGATTTGGCCGCAAGTGCTCACTTGGGAATGCATCATGCAAGCCGGCCGATCGACCAAGTGACCGCCAATGCCCCGGTGAGTCCTACCCATCGTGTCGTGTTCGTTGGGGTTTATAGAGTTCGGGGTGTAGGGTTGAGGTTGTTTTTGTTGAGCTCCTTGTTGCGTCTGCCCCTAGGTCAGCATCAGCAAGGGGTTGAGGGTTTCGGGGTTAGTGTTCAGGGTACTGCGTGCCCTCGTGTCTTTGACCTTCAAAGCCCTCGTGTCTTTGAGTTTTAATAAAAGGCAACCATCCCGTCCACCTCAGCCGTTTCAGAACTTGAACTAAGCATCGTGACCACCCGCTACGGCTTCAACCTGTAAGACTAGCGTGCTGGGTTTAGGGTTCAGGAGTTTATGATACCATAACTATAAGACTATAAGAGCAAACCACAAAGCAACACTATTAGTAATGCTGTAGGCTACTATAGTAGTAACACTCAGTTCACGTCTTACGACTTGCAAAAGCATTGCCCGCCTGGTGCTGCTCTCTGAACCTGACGAGGCGTTCATTCCAAACATTCAGGGAAGTCTGGGCACCCGGGTGCTCCAGATACGACCACACTGCATACGAACTGATGACAAAAGCCCCTATACATCCTGAACCACCCCTCGACCAACAATCCACCCTAAACCTTAAAGCTTAAACCCGAAAACCCTCAACTAGCCCTCAACTCTAAGCCCCCAACAACAAACCCGAAACCCAAACAAGAACCCAATGTTCAAACCCTCACCCCGAAACCCGCAACTCTAAACCCTTGCCCCTATAGTAGAAGCCAAAAAGTTGGAACATCATTATCCTCATGCCCTTAAGGTGAAGTATTCGGGGTCAAATCCATGTTCCAACTTTTTAATTAGCTTCTACTATAAGTTCCCTAAGCCCTAAACCCTAAACAGACTATAAGCCCCGAGAGATTGAGCTCCGGGCCCTCCGCTGGAAGAGCTCAAGGTGCGCTGCCGCGGCATCGACTCCGAGGGCCTCTGACTTTCGAGCTGCGGGGGGGGGGGGTTTAGGGTTTAGGGTTTGAAATTTAAGGTTTAGGATTTAGGGTTTAGGGTTTAGGGTTTGAAATTTAAGGTTTAGGATTTAGGGTTTAGGATTTAGGGTTTAAGGTTTAGGGCTTGGGGAGGGGGGGGGAATTGCTCTATCTTGCTTGGAGGTTCATGGGTAGTTATAAGTGGGGTTAGAAGTAGGGTAACTATAGTTATGAGCCCTATTAGGGGGCTTATCGCACTACTTATAACTACCCATGAACCTCCGAGTGGGGTTTGTGGGTTTAGGGTTTCGTGTTTGGGGCTTGCGTGTGGGGCTTAGAGTTTGGTGCTTGGGGCTTGGGATTTAAAGCTTGGGCTTGGTGGGTTTAGGGTTTAGTGTTTGGGGCTTGCGTGTGGGGCTTAGAGTTTTGTGCTTGGGGCTTGGGATTTAAAGCTTGGGGTTTGTGGGTTTAGGGTTTAGTGTTTGGGGCTTGCGTGTGGGGCTTAGAGTTTTGTGCTTGGGGCTTGGGATTTAAAGCTTGGGGTTTGTGGGTTTAGGGTTTAGTGTTTGGGGCTTGCGTGTGGGGCTTAGAGTTTTGTGCTTGGGGCTTGGGATTTAAAGCTTGGGGTTTGTGGGTTTAGGGTTTAGTGTTTGGGGCTTGCGTGTGGGGCTTAGAGTTTTGTGCTTGGTCCTGGCCCACGATGGTCTAAACAGACTCAATGAAACCTAAATTCTCATACCCTAAACCCTATATCTAAACCCTCATACGCCTCAAACCCTATCCTAGACTTTTTTGATAAGCCAAAACATGACACTCATACTCCTCCTTCAGATCGGGTGTTCGCCCCCTAAACCAACCATCCTAGTTCGTCCCCTACAGCAGTACTAAAGCAACCTATAGTAGACCTTGTATCACCCCTCACAGGAACCCTTACAGTGGACCTTTCTGTTAAGACTTCATCGTAACCCTGATGATCGTAACCCTCTCAATATAGGGGCCTAAATAAGTACCTATTATATATATATATATATATATATATGTATACCTCTGTGTGTGTGTAATGTTTTGTTTTCGGTTTTGCTTTTTTGGGGGTGGCTCCTTATTAGAAGCATCGATAAAGTACACCTCAAAACCCTGTTCTATTTATTAAGGCCCCTATACTATAGAACCCTAGTTTTGATCCCCTATAGACCTCCTTGAGGATCTCTTTAAAGGAACCCATATTTCGTAGCAACCCTGTCCGTTGAAACCCAAAACATCGGCGCCGGTCCTGAGCGTCGCCGCCTCAATGGAGGAGCTTCGCTGCCGAAGCATGGCAGACCTGAGATCCGGAACCCCAAACCGTTAGGGTTTAGGGTTTGAGGGATTATAGGGTTTTAGGGATTAGGCTTTTGGCGTTTCGGGATTTAGGGGTCGGGCCCGAAGAGATGCATGGAACCCAAGTAAGCAGATCACTTTAGGGCTTTTGTAATTGTTTAGCGCTTTGCAGGAATCGCGGAGGTCGGCTTGGCAAGGGCTTTGACTGTAAGTTGTTAACATGTTGGCAAAGCCTCTGTGATTTGTTAATGGGGTTTGTGGATCTGTGTCACCTTGCTAAATTCAGGGGCTGAGTGGTTTCCGACAGGGACAGGGTTTATGTAGCAGAGGGTAACAATGGCGTCTATCGCGCAGGGTTGGAGACTTGAGGGTGGTAGACGGAGGCCCTAAATATCACCAAATGCCACTCGAGCTTTAACACGGCTCTCTTGAGAGCCCGGCGCGGAATTAGAGTTGAAATTTTTGCCCGAACCACTGGAAACTGAGCAAAGGATGGTTGATGCTGCTCGAAAGGGTCCAAGGTCCGAATCAAGTTGCTTCGAGTTGCCCTGATATCACGAACTAGGAACTAGCGGGCCTATGGACCAACACCTCAAGGTTTTTTCGCTGTGTACGACGGAGGAACTTAAAGCAGACTATCACTATAAACAGTGTAAAGGCAAACAGATAATACTGTGCATTTACCCGGTATCCCGGTGAACTTAAGTTCCTGGCAAATCCTTCTTACGACCGTTAAACAAACTCCAGGAAATCCTTTGAAAACCCACGTGGATGTAGAACTCTGATGCTAAGCCTCTGATGCTAAGCCGTTACATAACCCAACACCCTATCGCCCTTAACTTGTTGGATTCCGAGCCCTCTTGGCACCGGGGATGTGCTGGTAAGAGACAAAAGAAAACTACTTTAAGCGATCCACCTACATTTGCTTTAGCACAACCTGAAATGGCTAACCTCCTGATACCCTTTAAAGCCCTTATAGCACCTCCGTTACTATTTGGGTTCCTTATCATACTTATAGTATGATGGCCCCATAGCCCTATTCTAATACTAAGGCCCCTACATGATAACAACCTTATAGATCCCTTAAAAGGAAACCTTATAATTAGATCCCTTTAAAGGAACCAAGGCCCTGTAGCACACCACTATAGTCGGCGATCCCTTCAAGTCCCTACCTACTATACGTACTTGGTGCCGGGGCGTCTGCGGCTTCTCGCTCGACAAACTGCGCGTGCGCTGCCGCTGAGCGGGGGCAGGCGGCCTCAGCATTGAGAAACTCTGCCTCCTCTGGGTCTTTTACCCAAAGGCCCCGAAGTACTTCCTGTTTGGGGCTCATATACAGAATCCTATAATAAGGCACGTGTACTCCCAAAAAGGAACGACTGTGGGGCCTCTGGGTAGGGATATATGCGGCTCTTGTAGCAGGTTAGTCCTAGGCGTGGAGCGCAGAACCACAATTCACGTACCGTGAATGGCAGACGCCCGACATCCACCAATACTGAATCCGAATCTTTATAGAACCCTTTAAAGTGCGTTCCAGCACTGGGTCACCGGCATCTCAGGCGGTGCGTCATTCGAGAAGCTTCGCGTGCGCTGCCGTGGCGCTTGCATCCTGGGTTGCCTGAGGGGGTTCAAAACAAATCGTTACTATTCGGGCCACTACTCGAGCCCGAACAGGGTTGCCAGATTCAGGCTCTTGTAAGGGTTACTATAAGTAGGGGTTTAGGGCAAGTTTAGGGTTCCGGACTTTCAGGTTTAGGGTTTAGGACTCCGGGTTGAGGTTGTAAATCTTAATCGCCTTATGAACTGAACTATGCCCTGAATCTTTCGATTTGGGGGGGTTTGGGAGAAGACACGGCTCCTTTATTTTCAAAAGGGCAACCTTGGGTGGTTTTGGGGTTTAGGGCTTTCTGAAGCCCTTCTAAGACCGTTATATGCCCGTATGTAGAACCCTGGAATAAGTCCGACAAAAAGCTTTCAGAACCACACAACCGGTCCAAAGTACCTAGAACTAGTAGAAAGTAGTGTTTCTAAATTAGGAATTACTGATAGGATTTGGGAAAGTATCCCCCATGACAGTACCTAGGACAATTTGGGTATGTACCTTTCAAAGTCAACGGAACCAAATGTCTAGGGCCCCTGCCTTTGGCCGGTCTCTTTCGATGAGCTCCGGGTCCGATGCCGCCGTGGGGCAGCGGTCGGTGGCCTTGGTCGGGACTCCAAAGCGTCCTGGGTACTGTCATGGTAAGTTATGGGGATTAATCGCCCAAATCATAATGTAGGAACCTGATTAAGAAACCCTGGCCATAACCCCAATATATCAGGGATCCATATTAAGAACCCGAACAAGGACCCACGGTTTCTTAATCAGGTTCCTACATTAACAGTGAAACATTGCTTTGGACCCTTTCGGAACTTCGTGGCTGTGAACGAGATGTAGGGTGTTTTTTACGGGGTCTAAAGAGTCGTTAACCGGGGTTCTACAAGGGGTTCCCTTCGGGGTCATACGAGAAATAACCGGGTTTAATGAATAAGACTAGATCTTAAAGGTTTTTCCAGGTGTGCTTACGGACAGGCCAGCGGGTCTGGCAGCGACTTCGAGAGTTTGTGGGTTGGAGTTTAATGCTTTATTGTCTAGGGTCGAGGGCAAGTTCCTCAGGGTGTCATGGATTTGGAGGCTTAGGTTTGATGGCGATGGCTGGGGTATGTCTAGAAATCGTCTGAAGAAGCTGAAACCCTTTAGTCCGGATCGTGGCTGCTGCAAGGGTGTTGAATTTTTGAATTGTATCAGTTTCGTCCCTTTTCTGACCAGACTTTTGAAGAATAAAGCCCGCGAAAAAAATCAATACATCGCAGGTTCCTTGCGGCATTCCCTTGAAAGGATGGGCTTTAATCATCAAAGGACTTCCACAAGTGCCCTGTAATTTGCAGTGCATTTCGTGTTTGTTTTGCTTGCCTCGACTCTCCCATGTAATGTTATGCAAAAGAATACGAGGAAACATTACAGAATACAGTATGATGAAACATAATACAACATAATGTAACATAATAAAAGGTAGTACGCTGAAGATCGTTAAACCTGATATATAGGGTCCGAACCTGGCGGAACGACAAGAGAGAGAATCGACAAACCCCCGCTAGAAACACACACACACACACACACACACTAAGTTGGTTGAAACAAAAACTGTTGCACCCTTACAACCACCAACATACAGTTGCTGCACTCCCCCTCCCCATCCGAAAAAAGCAAGCCTGGACTAAGCCCTAAATCCGAGTTTAACCCTTCCAGACACATGAGCTACACCCTGTTGGAAATCAGGGCGATGGCTTCTCCGGTGGCTCGTTTGAGAAGCTGCGTGTTCGTTGTCGCTGAGGCACCGATGCCGGCAGCCTACAGCACAAGACATTGCGGATTGGGATATCGGGACTAGGAGGTTGAGATTTGGGAGTTTCCGAACATGGGGGACCCAAATATAGTACCCTAAATATTAGGATCCTTACTACAAGGACCCCCAAAAGAAGGTACCCCTCATTTTCGGAAACTCCCCAATTTAGGGCTTACAGTTTGAGTCCAAGGCTTTAGGGCTTTAGGGCTTACCATGGGCTTGACAAGAAGAAGGCCATGCAATAAAATCACCCCCTGAACCCTGCACCCAAAACATCCATAACCCCTGCAGGGAAGTTTGTGTCTTTCTTGGTATGTTCGCTAGCATACTTGGAGGTTCACGGGTGGTTGTACATCGGGTTATAGCTCCTCCCCAAAATGGGTTAACCCCAAGTCATCACTACCCATGAACCAGAACAAGATCTTGGGAGTGGTTCGACCGTGCTGCCAGTAAGAAACAAAAACACTACAGTTTAGCCGAAAGGGTCCTGGGTACTGTGACGGGGGAATACTTCCCCAAATCATCATAGTGATTCCCAACAAAAACACCCTCCACTCTACGATGTAGGTACTTAGAACCCTTTAACCCTTAATCCTCATAGTACCCATATCGAAACCCTCTAAAGGAACCCTTATAGGTACTTCGGACCGTTTGGGCAGGGAGTCGAAGTTTCTATAGGACCCCTTGACCCTTAACCCCTATAGTAGCAATAATGTGGGTGGTTGTAAAAATTAGAGTCCCTTTTCGGGTAGCCTAAAAAATTGGTGCCGTACTATTTTAGGAATCCAAAAAGGAGACCCTCATTTTGACAAGCACCCATATAGAGAAACCCTGAAAGGAACCCTTATAAGTCGATATAATAGCTATATGGAGGGTATATATACCTAGGCGTCCTTATGAAGGGTCCCTCCTTTTGCCCTTGGACCTCATAAGCCGGGCCTGAATATTATGATTTAAGGTACATTCCGTAATCAAGGGGTATTGGGATCTGTGGGCAGAAACTCAAAAAGGCCCATAAGCCTTACAGTAAAAGCCAGGAAGTTGGAATATGATTATCGTAACCCCTTTAAGGTAAATTATAGGGTATCCTACCCTGAAACCATATTCCAACTTTCTGGAGTTCCCTTTATGTGGTATCTAGGTGGGGCTTTTAAAGCCTTTGAAAAATATTAGTAAAGAAGGTCCTCTTAAGCCCAATAAGGGAAAATATAAAATGTCCCAAAGCCCTACCTTGGTATGGTCTTTGAGGGTTCTATAGGACTGAAAGGCTTCTGCCCGACACGCAGAACACGTTCTGGAAACCTCTGGTCTTCGCGCCTTCGCTCTGAAGCCCTAACCCCCCCCCAAAAGTTCCTTAAAGGGCTTCTTAAAGGAATTTTATCGGCTTCCTTAGAGGGATCTATAGGGTTTAGGGTTTAGGGTCTACTTAGAGGATCATGAGACTTAGTAAGTAGGTTATAGTTGGGGCTATAAGTCCCCTAAGTGGGGTCATCCTAATTATACCCTACTTATAACCTTACTTACTAAGTCCCATGAGCCTTCAAGCAACCCCCCCCCCCAAAAAAAAAAGTAGGTAAATTTGTAAATAGGGGCCCAAGCCCTGTAAAGGGCTATTGTTCTACATACTTTTGGGGTCCAGGTAACCCCTAATCTGGATGCAGCTGTGAGAACTAAGGAAGAGGTGGCTTGTGTCATGCTGGATGAAGGTCGTATAACATCGCAAAGGCAAGGCGGAAGCAGGCACACTAAGAAAGTTTCAGTCTGCAAGACATCGGCACCAAAGAACATGTCACAAGTTTTCTCTCTCTCTCTCTCTCTCTCTCTCTCTCTCTCTCGCACCCACACACACAACAGACACACAAACACACACACAAACACACACACACACACACACACACTCTCTCTCTCTCTCACTCCTGCTGTGTCACACATGAGACGTCGAAACAATCAAAACAATCCCCAAAGCCAAACCTTGAACCCTGATCCCCCGCAAACCCCCACAACAACAAAACTCCAACCCTAAATGAACAACATATCCCAAACCAGGATGCCAGGGAACGGTGTCTCTGTCGACAGGCTTCTGGTGCGCTGCCGTGGAACCAAGGCTGGTGACCTCAAGTACTCAAAGGGTCCGCTTTGGGGAGGTAGGGTTTAGTTTGACACCTAAGAAACTACCTTATTCAGGGCTTGTATAAGGAAATCATTACAAGGAGCCCTGGAAAGGCACCAAGCTTCTAAGGGTTCGGGTAAGTGAGGGTTTGGGGTTTTTCTATGGAGTATTTAGGGTTTCAAGGCCGTGATTTAAGGGTCTGGCCGTTCACACATTAGGGTCAGCGACTTTATGGAACGGGTTCCTGTGAGGGTTCTGTAAGGGACACTACAGGTTCTACAATGGGGCCCTCAGACCTCAATGGTTTAAGGAGGGCTCAGATTCACCGTCGTCATACAGTACAACAGTTACAGGTCTTCATACTGTTGTATCGTGCCTCAAGAAGACTCCGGCAGGCTTGGCACCCAAGCATTGGTACCAAACCTTTGGGGAAGTCTGCAATCGGAAAAGTAGGGCTCATATGTTACTGCTCTAGAGTCTGGTGCTACAGGTAAAACCCCAAGCCTTAAATCCCAAACCTTAAACGCCCAAACTCTCATCTCCAACCCTAAACCCTGAACCCCAACTCCCAAAGCCTAAACCCCGCTCCCTAAACCCTGACCCCTTTATGCCCGAAACCCTGAATTCCAAATAGGGAAGGCGCCACCGCAACCTCCAAAACCGATCTACCGGGACGATTGCTGGCTTGGCCATGCCGGGGCGGTGTCTGCCTGAAACGAGCAGAGTTTTTTGTTTTTTACGCTCGTTTTTTCCGGCCTTGCTCGTTTTAGGGTTTGGGGCAGAGCTTTTGGGGCTGTAGGTATAGTTCCTGAACCCTAACTCTTTACAGTAAGTTCGTGGGGGCTCGAAGCGAAAAGCTCCAAAGCGATGGACACCCTAGGTCCTTGCCTCTTTAGGCCCCAAACCAACTCTCTTTGTAGTGGTTGGGAGCTGCAGGCGGTTACAAAGGGGATTGTGATCAGTATCATATGGGTGGTTGTCAAAATTAGGGTCCCTTTTGGGTCCCTATTATAGTACGGCACCTACTATTTAGGGTTCCCAAAACGGGACCCTAATTTTGACAACCACCCATGTGTGTCTCAACTTGCCGAAGTTACCGGTTGTGACGATCGTTATTGTTTCGCCCAGGAAGACCAACACACAATATGACAGCTATCATCATCCGCATCCTGAGATTTATCGTTCTTAGTATGCTTATTCCGGCGTTCGTTTGAGGGCCCATCCCTCAGCAGACCGAAGAGCCCGTCCTGTAACCCCTAAACCCTAGACCCTAAACCCCCGAATGGTTCTGTTGCTTCGGAGCTTGACGAGGTAAGATGCGATGCTGTTCACCGTGGCGTGAAGGAGGTTGAGATGAGGCTTCAGGAGGTTTCAACGCATAGGCCTTCTATATTCGAATACCGTTTTGCTTCTGGGTGCCCGTTTTGGGGTTTTGGGGTTGAAAGCTTTTCGGGCCCACCCTACCAACATGACGAGCCGGACATTGAGGCCCAGGCCGCCGGCCAAGCAGAAAACGCAGGGAAACCTGGCATGATGACGACCCGGCTCGCCCTCAAGTTTGGAGTGAGGGAACCCCTAGCCCTATAGCTTAGAAGCTGCCCCCACCCTGTAATAGTGGTATAATAGAAATATAGCAGGGCCCTAATATAATCCTTTTAGTCACTATTACAGGTTGGGGCTTTTCGGCTTAGAGGATCATGGGACTTAGTAAGTAGGTTATAATTGGAGCTATAAGTCCCCTAAGTGGGGTTATCCTAATCATAACTTACTTATAACCTTACTTACTAAGTCCCATGAGCCTTCAAGTAGCCCTATAGCTCAAACTCTCAGCCCCTCTGTTTGGTATGCAGCCTGAGAGACGGTTTGGGGGCAATATCGGAAGAGCTGGAGTTGCTTGGGCTTGACGAGGGCATGATGTCCATAAAATCACGGGGGTCTCTTCGATTTGGGAAAGATCCTCATGATAATTTATCCTAAACCCTAGACCCGTACTTCCAAAACCCCAACACCCTAAACCCCTGAACCCCAACAGCCTAAACCCTGCTATGTTTGTCTAAGCTCCGAAGCTTTTGAGACACCGGATTTCCTGAAACTCCCAGAGATGTTGACCTCCTCTTGACCTCGGCGGACATTCCGGGTTTATCGTCGTTTCAAAGAGCCTACATTGAATGTAACTACCTTGATGAAAGCCCTGGCTAAGAGAGAACTGAACATCGCCCCAGCAACTGCTGCAGTCGTGCAACCAGCACGTGCCGACATCTTTGTAAAACTCGCAAAACTTTGAGACTGAATCTTGCTAGTCGCAGTCGTAAGTGTAGTAGCAACAGCAGCAACAGTGGTCACATGTGGCGACAGTAATTGTTGTCGCACATTCAGCATAAGCAACAGCCTGGAAGACAGAAGTCAGAGCACATCCCTCAGAGATCCTATTATAATGTTCGGCTTGTGAATACCCTGTCATGGCCTTCAGATGCTGGTTGCGCGGGGAACGATGATGGGGTTGGCCTTGGCATCGCGACACCGAGGTTGGACAGACAAACTCTTTTGTCTTTTGCGAAACGCCTGACGAGTTACAAGAGCACGTGCACAGTCATCAGAAGTGTCTTGAACACGGTGTCTTGCCTTTGAGATCCAAGCCGAGAAACGGTACAGTCTTAGCACAAAAAACAGCAACTGTTTCCTCCAGAAATGGAGCGCTCAAACTGTCTAGACCTAGACGATGACCTGTGGACAAGACAAATGTAGCAGAATCCGCATTACTGCCGCTCTCTACTTGAGAGACACCGTTCACCCGGAGCTACAGAGAGTAATCGAGCAAGTTCCTGCAGGGGCTTTGACCCCCAAAGCCTGAAACTCAACCGCCTGTTTCCTACGACCCTTAATGCCCCATGATCCTAAACTCTGACCTACTAAACCCTAAACCGTACTTGCAGGTTCATGGCTACTTATAAGTTGGGGTATAAGTCCCCAAATATGGGTTATGAGTATAATTACCCTACTTGTAACCCCACTTATAACTAGCCATGAGCCTCCAAGCACCCTTGAAGCCTCAACCCTTGCTTCTGCCACCGGGGAGCGCAGCGCTCGCGCCTGAGCCGCTCCAAGCTCACAAAATCAGCTCGGAATACAGGAGCCTTAAGAATTTCAATGGGGTTTCGGCTAGGTTATACTACAACCTACGAGTATACTGGGAATAGTATTACGAATCAGGCAGGCTACAGTTATGGTAAGGACTGAAGATTGAAGGCTTCAGGTTTGAAGAGCAATGCGACTAAGAATGGTAGTGATGATTGTCAAGAAAATACAGATGAGAGCAATCGTTCATAGTCATAGTCATAAGAAGAATAAGAATACTAGCAGCAGCAACCATAATCTTGATACTAGTATGGGTAACCATCATCGTCATTTTCAACAATCGGAAGAACAACAGACAACAGTCATACTAACAAGGTTGATGCCAATCAGAACAAGCAAAGTCGCAATCATGATCATGATTAATGCCAGCAATATCCACAATAACAATCAAAACTGAATCATAACAACAAAAACGAAAACTAATAGTAACAATCCAAGCCTCACAAACGCCGACCTGACCCCGCCCCTCACGAGAAGTCCTCCAACCACGATGATGTAATATCCGTACATTGAGATTTAAGGTTTAAGGCTTTAGGATTTAGGGATTTAGGGTTTGGGGTTTAGGGGTGGTTGAGGCTTCGTCTTTGTGTGCCTGCTTGAGATGGGGATACCGATGCCACTGTCTCGAGCTTCTCTTTGAGCTCATGAATCTCCTGCGACAGAGACTGAGGTAGATAGGGTTTTGGGTTTTGGGTTCAAGGGTTTAAGGGTTTAGGGTTTAATGGTTTAAAGGTTCAAGGGTTTATCAGGGTTTACAGTTTAGGGTTTAAGGGTTTCTTGTTTCTAAAGTGTGTTAGGGTAGGTTTTAGGGCTTAAGGGTTTAGGGTGTTGAAAAAGCGCTCAGCCACTCCCTATATTCTCCCTTCTACTTCCGTTTTTGGGCTCAATTTTGGGATACCATATTGAACCATGGCGAAAGCAAAAAAGGAAATACAATGACTAATTATGGGCATGGCATGGCTCAGGAGCGCTCGGGACAGTATAAATGTCTGAATAGTTAGTAACAGCATTCCCTTACAGGTCTTGTATACTGCAATCAATACCCCATTATTAAATGTACAAACCTTGTTGCATTGTAAGGGTTCCAGCCCCCGAAATAAATGGTGCTATGAAGTACGGGCTAGTTTGCTGGCACAAGATGGAAAGCGGCCCACCTCGTTCCAATATGCCTCCAGAGCTCTACAACCCTGTCCTTGGCTAGCCGCTCCACAATCTCGTCCCGACGCCTGCAATGCGCAAGACGTGCACAATCGACGATTTCCCGTTTCAAAGAAGTGCTGCAGAAATGCCAACAAGTACAGCAAATGACAAGAAGGTCGGATGCGCTTTCTTCTCAAGGGCCAGGCAACTCGTCCTACAAACCGTCCTCGTGGATGCTAGATGGATGATACAAACCACAAGAAATCACCGAACAACGATCAAACACTGAAAAGACACTGCGAAAACCCAAGACACCCTGATGGGTGGTAGCACTCTAAGCAAATCGTCTGCTATGATCCTGTGTGAACCTGTGCGGAGCGTAGCAGCATGGCCCAGGCAAGCCTGGTATACCACCCAAGCCTGGTACCACCCGAGCTTGGAACCTACTCCCGAGGTATCACGGTGTAGGCTGCACCGTTGCAATGGTTCAAACAAAAGTGTATAAAGGCTAAAGGCACCATGCCCAAACTGGACCAGTTTTGTGTTGAAAGACAATGAGCGAATGACAATTTATGTTGCTGCCTTCCAGGAAAAGTCTGTACCCACCTTGCACTGAGGCATACGAAAAGTCGTGAGTCCAAGCCTTGGCTACTGCTACTCTGCTACTACCACCAGTATGAAGTACTCTTACCTACGACTACGACTACGACTCCGACCACGGCACCACGGCTACTGCTACCGCTACCGCTACAACCACCACCACCGCCGCCGCCACCACTGCCGCTACTGCTTCTTCTACTTGCTAATCCTAGCACTACTGTTGCTTGCCGCAACTAGTTCTCCTCCTCCTACTCCGCAACTACTCCTCCTACTCCCGCAACTACTGCTCCTACTCCCACTCCTTACAACCTCCACCCTCGTTGTAAACCCCAGGCCCTACAAACCAATGAACCTCCAACCCTGCAAGTCCTAAACCTTCATCCCTGGCCTTGCCCCCTCTTCCGCCTTGACCTCGGTTGCGCGCTGACAGGGCGATGGAGGGGCCTTAACCTTGAACCCCTAACACTAACCTTATAAAGCCCATACTCCCCAAACCCCTAAAGCCGTATTACACGCTTTGGGATTTCAGGTAGAACCCCAAACACTAACCTTATTATAAAGCCCATGCTCCCCAAACCCCTAAAGCCCTATGACACGCTTTGGGATTTCCGGTAGAAGACGGAAGATCCTCGAACCCGTACTGTCTTCAGCACCAAACCCGTCCATGCGAGGGCGCCAAAGTAACATATGGGTGGTTGTGAAAATTAGGGTCCCTTTTTGGGTACCTTAAATAATAGTAGGTGCCGTATTATAATTGGGACCAAAAAGGCACCATAATTTCGACAACCACCCATATGTTCCGAGCTGGCCTTGTGCTTTGCGTATGCTTTAGAGAGTAGGTTGGGTCGGTCAGAGAGTGCAGCACTGTCACATTATACGCATGAGCCCTGAACGGACCCTGACGTGGAGAACTATCCACATTGCCCCACCAAGCCTTGAAGATGCTCGTAAAGTGATGTAATTTCCGTAAACTGCAGCTACAGTTTAAAGTTTCATGACTATGGTACTACGATGGACTCGCGCACATCGATGCTGAACCATAGGTTGTCGGGTTCCTAAAGCCTGAAGCCTTTGAATCTTCATAAAATCCGGCACTCATAAGTCGACGCCTTAACCTGTAGGATTCCATGCGACTTTCACCGGGTTCCTGGCCAAAGCTTGCTTGGCAGTTGCAGCTGCCTCAGCTACGGCCCTGACATCAGCATATGGTTGGTTGTCAAAATTAAGGCCCCTTTTATGGTCCCTGTTGTAATAAGGCACCTAATAGTTAAGGGACCCAAAAAGGGACCCTCATGTTGACAACTACCCATATTTAGGGCTTGGGTTTAGGGCTTTGGGGGCTGCGGGGGTTTAGGGTTTGGCTGCTCTATGGCTGCCAGCTTGCGGCTATTTACTAGGGCTAGGGCTCTGAGACACTCCACCCTTACCACCCCCCAAAACTCACAGATCCTTGCTGCTAGGCATGTCTGGAGCACGTGGTATGCAGCACATGATGCTGGGGGCTTGGGGGTTGAAACATTGGCGCAAATCTTGTCAGAAAGCCGTGGCGGCACACTTATGATGCCAGTCCATGCCAGCCGGTGCTAGGGACCTGCTCACTTGCTTCTGTTACTAACGCCAAAGATGCCTAGCCCAAGATTCTAGTACATCCCCCTGCTCGCGGCTTACTGCTGCTACTCTTATCTACATTCCCACCTCGCAACCTGCAAAGAATTCTAAAAAGCCCTTGCAGAACCCTTCGATGAACCCCAAACGTTCAAAGGAGCCTCACCCTAAACCCCGTAATTAAAGGAATCTTGCCAGGAACTCTCCAAAGGAACCCGTAAGGGAACTCTTTAAAGGAACCCTGTAAATGATCTCTTTAAATAGACCCTTCTGGTTCCGACCCCCGCCGACCCAAGCCCAGACCCGTGTCCTCTGCGTCTGCGCAGCCTGCCGCTCCTGCCTTGCTGGATAAGGGACGTTGAATCTTGGCTGACTTCTGAACCCTTCCTAAAAGTTAAACCTTTAGCCTCCTTATTATAGTTCATATAGAAGCCCAAAAAGTTAAAGTCTAAAGAGCCAACCAGAAGAACGCCAAGGATTTGTTTTTTTGTTGAGGGCCTTTGGGAATTGGGGTTTAGGGTCCAAGCCTTAGAGTTAGATTTGGTTTATATGGGTTTAGAATTTGGAATTTGAGGTGGAGGGTTTAGGGTTTAAGGGTTAGGGGGTTTAGAGGTACTTAAGGTCATAAGGGCTCTATGAAAGGGTCATTGGGGGTCCTGGTAGAGTCTAGGTAAGGAATCTAGGAGTTGGAGTGTATTGGGTTTGGGGGCCAGGGGCGGGTTTAGGGCTAGGAGCGGGTTTAGGGTTAAGGGGCCAACAAGAAACGAATCAAGTAGTTTTGCTTTTTTATGTACCCAATCATCGGGTTCAGTGTGGTCCTCATGAATTACAATGGGGTATTGGCTTAGGGTCCAGGGTGTTGGGGTTGAGAAGTTGAGAGCGGGGTGCGGTAGCGGTAGCGCCAGTCAGTTGGCTACCAAAGCCCAACACGCTAAACTTGTCCTCAAGAGAGGCATGGAGGTGCTGATGAGCCACCATTCAGGCAGCGAATGTAGGGGCTTTGATACTCAGGATAGTATCATATCATCATGGACTGTATAAGGGATACTCAGGATAGTAGTATATCATCAGGCTGATGGAGACTATAAGGGATACTACAGTTGATGATATAAATCATGCACTACCCAGAATAAGGAATGTTTCATAAATCCCATAGTCTAGGATCCTTAAGGTAATGCAGGATTTCTATCATCAAACGTATCATTTTGTCGACCTCTGTCGATTACTGTCAAACCGAAGTTCATCTTCCTTGAAGCCTCAACCCTGGAGAGAATCCTGAACGCCTCAAACGGCGGTTGGCTTTCTTTGGGAATTAAAGCTCAGGATATCAAGGGCCCCGAATAGCTAGCCAGCATAGTGCGTACAAAAGTATGATGCTTTTAGTATTATAAGTTACTTGGAGGATCATGGGACTTAGTAAGTAGGTTTTAATTGGGGTTATAAGTCCCCTAAGTGGGGTTATCCTATATAATTATAACCTACTTATAATACCTTACTTACCAAGTCCCATGAGCCTTCAAGCAGAGATTCGTATTCCCAGCTATTCAGACCCCTGCTGGGATCATCTAGGACCCCCAGTGACACAAGGGGCTCCCGTGTTGGGATTGGGTAGTTTGGGAAGGAACCTAAGACCACTCAAAGGAAACAAGGGCCCACTAGGCGACCTAGACTACTTCAGTGCGAAAAAACTCTCGGGAGGTCGGCGCCATCAGGACACTGAAGGTGACACGAGCGAGCAAAATGCGGCCGTGCTGCTCATCTCGTCGTATGGCTTCCTGCTTTGGGCAGGTTTTTAGATTTTCGGTTTTGGATTTAGGCTCATGCTGAGAGGTTGGTTTGGGCTTTGGGATCTTCATGCGGGCCTTGAATTACGACATTTCCCCCTGAACCACCGATTGGAGCATTCTGTTCAGAATTGCAGGTTTTGGCTTTAGGCCTCGCCCTGAGCCACAAATAGGCCTGGAGCATCCTGTGCGATGCCAGACAGGCCAGGAATCCAGCCTGCATGAGTTCCCAGGCCTCATGCGTCCGTTCGGGGTTTAGCGTCCCTTCAAGGAAGGGCGGAGAGCTCAGCATTCGGGATTGGGACTTAAGGAGTTGAGGATCAGGACATGGCCGCTGAAACCTTGTTCTGAACTAGCCACCTTTGCTCAAGACCACGCGAGCGGGATCTGAATCGCGATCCTTGTCATAGGAGCAGAGAAACCCCCGAAATCCTACACCCGTACCTCTGCAACACACACCCTGACAGAAGGGCCACCCGCAAAACCCGAATTCCAAACCCTGAACCCTGAACCTTATAATTAGCCCTATAAACCCTGAAGCTTTCGTCCCAGCGCGCCTGCAGAGATTTGGATTCCCCAAGTTGACGTAGTGCCTGGCACAAGAACTGGGCTTTAAATTGAATAGGAGTTTGACAACTGGGATAGAGTCCCTGGATACACCACTCGATGATGATGTAGGGGCCTTAATTACAAGATTAGATTAGGGTTGAGGAGTTGTGGGGCATATTATGCTCTAGCAGACTAGAAGTAGTAATAAAATGAAGGACCCCCCAACATAGTATTGCTAACTATTTAGGCCCGACATTGCCCAAAGCCCTACTGTAAGCCAGCCCTCCCCCCGAATCTACCACCTCAGCTATTGCGCACGTCGCGAACCCAGACCCCCGGGAGGATCCAAAAAGTAGATCCCTTAACTCGGGTTCCAAAAAAAAGGTACCCTTAGAAGTCTAGGGCCCCAAATTAGGGGATCTACTTTCTAGATCCTCCCGGGGGTCTGGGAAAGAACCGGCTTCCCAGATGGGTTTCGATGAACTCAGACTCACGGTTTTGTATACTTTTTGTTGAGCTCCTTTCTACGGGGGTTTAGGGTTGAAGGCACTTGAAGGATAAGTGTGTAGGGCAGTGTAGGGTTCAGGGTTGGAGGCAGTTTAGGGTTCAGGGCCTTTAAACCAAACCCTATAGCCAAAAAGACCTTATGGATCCCTCTTAGATTCAGGAATCCACTAAAGGCCCTGGCAACCCCTACTTTGAGGGTCGGGGGACTTCGTAAGTAGGTAGTAAGTAGACTCCTCAGTACCCTAAAAAGGACCCTAATTGGGGTTATGGTACTCGTAAGTCCCTAAAATAACCAGTTACTAAGTCCCCCTACCCTCCAAGTAATCCTTACCTTAACCCTGAATAACCTACCTTTTTAGGGTTCCTTATTGTGATTTCGTTATGAAAATCCTGAAAAATGTAGGTTCTTTGGGGTTAAGGTAATCAAAAACACATTGCAAAACTCCATTTAAAGGAACCCAATACGCGGACCCTTTAAATGGGGAACCATTTGAAGAACACCACATCCCGATAGCAGCGACCAGGGAGTGTCTTTTGCGTGATGCGCTTCATCGCCGCAGTGTGGGCAGCCTGCAGCACACGAAGCGAAGTACGGGAATGAGAGCCAGGGTATAGACTTTAGGGTGTAGGGCCAGTGTAGGGTTTAGGGACTAAAAAGTGTTTAGAAAGGTGCCGGTTTCGGGCTGAGGTTTGGGTGTTCGGGCTCGGATATGCGCATACCCATTGCGATTACTCCTTCAGCCATCAACCGCCGGCGGTGTAGGTTTGTGGTACCCTGAGTCCATAGCCTTGTGTGTCGGCCTTCTTGGAATCCAGAAAGGAACCCTTTATAGTAGAAGCCAGAAGGTTGGAATATGGTTTCAGGGTAGGATAGCTTATAATTTACCATAAAGGGCTTAGGAGAATCATATTCCAACTTGCTGGCTTTTACTTTAAGGACCCTGAACTCCACACCGAAATCCTAAACCCTAAACCCCGAAACCCGAGACCCCAGGCCCTGCCCTACATCCTCGGCCTTAGACCAGACTCTGGACGCTAGGCCCTAGAATAAGACATAGTGGGACTTAGTAATTACGGTTGTTATTAAGGTACTATACTTATAAACCCAATTAAGGTAATTACTTATAACCATACTTACTAAGTCCCATGATCCTCCCAAGTAGACTTTAAACCCTAAACCCTGTAGATCCCTGTAAGGAACCCTATAGATGCCCTTTAAGCAACCTTACTAAGTCCCGTGATCCTCCATCTTAGAATGAAGATCCTGGTTGCTCGGCCCTCGACCCCCTGACAATACCGAGACCTGGATCCTGACCTGGACCCTGCACCCTGACCCTAGACCCTACCCAGAGGCCCCAAAGTAGTGGCGTTTTAAGGATTACCTTATAGGATTCTATATATGAACCCCAAAAAGGCTTTGGGGCCTTTGGGTAGGCCCTCCCTACCTTCACCCTGAATATCCTATCTTTTTAAGGTTCCTTATTATGATTTCCCTATATAAGTCCTTAAGAAGGTAGGTTATTCAGGGTTAAATCTAGACCCTAAACCCTAAACCCGACACCCCCCTTTGGCCTTCACGACTTCCGCCGCCTGCGGCACCGAGGCCAGGAAGACTTGCTGTGCTGAGCGCACCTGATTTCTGGGTTCCAGTTAGGGTTTAGGGCTTAGGGTTTATGGTTTTAGGGTTTAGGGTGGGTTAGGGTTCAGGGGCGTAGGGTTCGGCGGCTTAGGTTTTAGGGTCAGGGTGCTGATTCTGGGTTACATGGGTTAGGGTTCAGGTGCTTAGGATTTAGGGGCTTAAAGGTTTGGGGTTTAAGGAATTTAGGAATTTAGGGGTGTAGGGGTTTGGAGGCTTAGGGTTTAGGGAATTTAGGGTTTAAAGAGGTTTTGGTTTTGTGGGCTGAGAGAACAAAGTTTAAGGTTAGGGTGCTGATTCTGGGTTCCATGGGTTAGGGGTTGAGGGTCTTCAGGCTTAGGGGCTTAGGATTTAAGGATTCTGGGTTCCATGGTGAAGGGGATTGGGGGCTTAGGGTTCAGGGGAATAGAATTTAAGGGGTTCAAGGGTTTAAAGGTTTAGGTTTAGGAGCTTCAGGTTTAGGGGCTTAGGATTTATGGGGTTTAGGGGTGTAGGGTTTGGGGGTTTAGGAAATTTAGGGATTGGAGGTTTAGGGTTTAGGGGCTACGGGTATAGGGCGTAGGGTACTGATCCAGGGTTTCATCTACGAGCTCTTTAGTTTAGTGACAGTTTCACAGGGATTTCGATTAAGGGGGTTGGAAAGGATACTAATAAGGTTGGGATCTAGGGTTACTGGTACCCCATGCATAAACAAGAGGCCGAGGCCATAAGCTGCTAGTGTGCAAGGTTCGGGAGTACACGTGGTGAGATTTGCACGGGCCTTGCGAGTGTGGCAGACGCTCTTTCGTGTCTTACCCCAGGGCATATGACGGAATCTACTTGGGCTTTCGAAGGCGCGGTTGCTATTCGGGTCGTCGACAAGAAGCTGCTACAGAAGTAGATCTGCGCCTTGCAGCAAACCTTTGCACCGGTTCGGGTTTCCAGTTCAAGCCTCAGTTGTAGGCTAAAGGTTCGTTGTTTAGGGCTCATGGGTATAGGCGAACCCTAGAACGACTCATTCGTGTTATATTGCTACCACCACCACGACTCATTACGACTCCTACTATTCCTACTAGTCCGACTGTTCCTAATCTACTACTACTACTACTACTACTACTACTACTACTACTACTACTACTACTACTACTACTACTACTACTACTACTACTACTATAGTACTACTACTACTACTACTACTACTACTACTACTACTACTACTACTACTACTACTACTACTACTACTACTACTACTACTACATTACTACTACAACTACTACTACTACTACTACTACTACTACTACTACTACTACTACTACTACTACTACTACTACTACTACTACTACTACTACTACTACTACTACTAACTACTACTAACTACTACTACCTACTACTAACTACTACTACTACTACTACTACTACTACTACTACTACTACTACTACTACTACTACTACTACTACTACTACTACTACTACTACTACTACTACTACTACTACTACTACTACTACTATACTACTACTACTAGTACTACTACTACTACTACTACTACTACTACTACTACTACTACTACTACTACTACTACTCCTGCTGCTGCTGCTGCTACTACTACTACTACTATTACTACTTCATACAGCTATCACTACCACTACGACGACGACGACGATGACGACTGCTACTACTAGCCACCCCCACCCCCTACCAACTACACTTGTTCCATCCGGGCTGGGCAGCGGTAGCTGCTAGACGCCTTAACTGCGACAGTTGCAGAAGATGCACGGGCTCAAGCTCCCTATCTGCGACAGCTGCAGAAGTTGCAGAGGCTCAGTTTCCTTAACTGTCACAGCCGGTGAAGTTGCAAGGGCTCAGGCCCCAAACCTGCGACAGCAGCCGAAGTTGCAAGCTCGACGGGGAAGAAACTGCTAAACCGCAGGTGCTCGGATAGTACGAAAACGCTGTAAATACCGTGCAAAACCCAGGTGTTGCCAAGAAGGGTTTCACATTTCGAAAACCTGAAGCCCAACATCTTCTAAACATCCAAAACAAAGATGCCAGCTGTACGTGGGAGGGGCTCGCCAACACCCCTACCGCCCAAACTCGTCGTAGGAGCTTCTACTACTACAACAACAACTACTACTACTACTACTACTGCTACTACTACTACTACTACTACTACTACTCTCATTATTACTACTACTACTGCTGCTGCTGCTACTGCTACCTGCTACCACTACCACTACTGCTACTGCTACTACTACTGCTACTGCTACTGCTACTGCTACTGCTACTGCTACTGCTACTGCTACTGCTACTGCTACTGCTACTACTACTACTACTACTACTACTAGCACCACTACTACTTCGACTTCTACTTTCACCCACTACTACTACTACTACTACCACCACTACCACTACCATTACCACTACCACTATACTACTGCTACTACTACTACTACCACCAATACTGCGGCGACTAGTTGTACTTCTACCATACCTTTGCCGATTGCCGAATGGTTGCAATCGTTTATGAACGCTATGCTCGACATGTCGCTTCACAGTAGTTTTCACACATCGCAGCTAGGTTGCTTTTCCCTGTGTTTCGAACTACAAATAAGTATTCGGAATGGAGCTGTTTATTTTGGTGGCAGGTGATACACGAAAGTGGGCTACGGAACACATTCTTTGGCGGCATAGCCCTTAAGCTTGTGCTTGTAGGTTATTTCATCACCAGGTAAGCATCAAGCCCAAGCACGTCACAGGCTGCTGGCAGCCGCTCGCATGCCCCGATTCGCTTTGAGTCCTGGGTAGTATTTTGCTGGGACTGCAGCGGTCAGGCTTGACTGAAAAACGGGAGCCAGAAAGATTCTAACAACTTTTGATGAGGACAATGTCCCAACAAGGGGATAGGCTTCGGCATTGTGTGTTTA